ATAATCCTATATAAGTAATACTAATCAAATCATATTATAATTGTTTTATGTCTTTTTCTTATGACATGACATGAGATATTGCATTTTTTATTAATATGGAAAGACCAAATCCACGCACAAGGAGCTTTTTCTATAAAGTGAAAATGGATTTAGATAAATGTGAATTATTTATCTTCTATCTAATTCGTTTGTAATTCATATCATAATTAATCTACACCATCCATTCAATTTTTGTATTTTGTGCTATAATGTGTAAACGTTAACCACATATGTATAATTTAATTTTCTTCAAGTCTCTATTTAAGTATTATAAATGCATTAAAAAAAATCAAAATGGCTATATTATATTTTTTTTTCCTATAAAAAGAAAACTAATACCAGATATTTAACAATCACAGGAGGGGGAAAAATTAAAAATATATAATTTTATCCGTTTGAGAATTATGAACAGTCTCATGCAAAATTTGCACTAGAAATTAAAGTCAAACCAAGAACACTTTTATTGGAAAATATGAAAAGTAACAATGCAAAATGACTCTAACTGTGCACGAGTGGCACGTGCTGGCATGGTATTAGGAGGGAAAGAGAGACGTAATAATAATTAATGATGTTTTTGACAATCCCATCACCAAACTGGCAAAAATAATAAATGGAGAGAAAAGGTTTCCCTTTTGCTTCATCATCAACTAAGCAATCAATTAATTTGACAACCCCTTTTTATGTCACCAATAATTCATATAAAAAAAAATATAATAAAATATTGAGAACCTACCATTTGAAATATTTAGATACTATTTTTTCAAGTCACTCTCCCAGCATGAGTTTTATTATGGCTGTAACTTTCATTTTTTGAAATTAAATCTATTATGTGACTTACAAATATTAATGCCTGCGTTCTCCATTTTTTGAATTGCAAGCGTTCAAATGCTATATGAATATTTGGATGTTTCCTTTTCATAAAAAAATACTTGCAATTTTAGACAAAATAACACTAAAAATTGTGGGCAAAGTAGTTTAGTCCACTTTTTTAAATTATTAAATTTTTGGTAGATAAAATCTTATAACAAAGAGATGTTGTTCAAATCAAAGATAAGAGAAGTCTTAAAACTCAAAAAACATTATAAAAATTTATATGATTTAAAAAAAATGCAGAGAATAAGCATGTTTGTTTGTATTTTTAAAAAGATAATTTTTTTTTAAAAACCAAACAAACATATTAAAGTTATCAAATAAGACTATTGCCTCACTATAACTTGAAAAGTTTTTTAGTATATTTTTTACAATACAAATTTGGTTAGTTCAATAAATTTATATAATTATTAGTTTCAGTATAACATTTCATTCAACAATAATAAAAAATATATTACTCATATATCTCTTGTTATATCTATTCGTTCCTCTAAAATATTTCTTTTCATAAAAGGTAAGTATTATTTTTTAAGCTTAGTGTTTATTAAATTGATAAATTTTTTAGGAAAAATATATAGCTGTCTTATTTTATTATTTTTGAATATATTTTATATAAAAATTATACATAAAATACAAAAGATATATGATTTCTTAAATACAAAATAAGTAATTGTAAATATCAATTTTTGCATCTCCGAAATGGCCTCCAATTTTTTTTTAATTTATAAAAATAAAATAATTTTACAAAAAAATAGAAAATTTTGACAAAAGGAGAGACCGGTTCCTAAAAACGGTATCCTTGTACTATGCAGTCTGAGACCTCAGTTTCAAAATTGACTTAATGCATGAAAAGAGAAAAGAGAAAGGCTCAGATATTTTGACATTTTATAAAATCTTAAAATGTAAGATTGAAGGTCGGTATAAATACATAAGGATGACAATGAGTAGGATTTCTCCTAAACCTGTTATCATGCCCACTAGGTCAAGAGAATGTTTGATTCTCATCTCGCACTCTGGGTTAACAACCCACATCAGAGGTCTCCCTCTTGATGCCTTAAAGATAGAGGAGGACGGAAGGTGTACTAATAAGTGTTAATCCTACTCGAAAAGGATTGAGCTAGCAGGATAGCTGGATAGAGGATAATACGGGATAAATGGTGTGTAAAAACTAATCACTGGGCAAGTGTACCTGTTGTCGAAGTAATATTATTAAAATTAAAATTAAAGTACCAAGTGTCGTATCCACAGGAACTATTATTAAGAAACTTTTCCTTAATTGTGTAATTGTTAATAAATATGAGAAATAAACCTTGTTGATGAAATTGCTAAAAGTAAAAGAATAATAAATTAAAAGGAACAGATATTCTAGTGAAAATAAATTATAAAAAATTATGACTAAAGGTATTCAATGTAAAAAGGCAAGTATCTAGACTGTAAATCCCCCTAAGTGTCCAAATAACTGAAATTCTTCTTCAACTACTTAGTTCCAAACCCTTATCGCTGCAGGAAATTTCAAATTAAATCAATACCTTTCTCAAGGATAATGATTCCTAACCCTCAGTTGATTAATCAGAATCTCTTCCTTAATTAATACCCCTAGGTTGCATTAAGTTCATTATGAATTCCATAATTAGGGTTAATCCTAATACAGAAAACTCACGTCTTTCTATCTCTAGAAATACATTCAAGTCTTTTTAATTGAGCAATGTTAATTTCATGCAGGAATTTTACTTAAATTCAAACAAGAAAACAAGATAGAGAAAATTGATACTACTCAATTAAACTCAAGAGAAAAGAACATGAAATAGCATTAGAAGAATTCCAGAAAATTTAGTCAATTAGGATTCATTATGTCTAGATACTCAAAAGAAAGTTAGAACCTAAACATCTTGAAATTAAAATTACAAAAGAGATGAAATAAAATGCTTAATCCCATCCTCTTGCCGTCTCTGAGTCTTTCGTCTCCAAAAACCGTCTCCCCAAGTTTGAGTTCAGTTCTCCTTTTATAGGAATTATCCTAGGGTTAATTTTCTCGCAAAAGTTAAATTTCTGACACGCGTAAAAGTACACGCCCAAGTACATGGCCATGTACTTAGCCGTGTACATCTCTGTTTTCTAATAGACGTCTTTCAAAGCTTTCCATCAAAGTACACGCTCATGTACACGGCCATGTATCTGGCCGTGTACATCTCTGGTCTTGATGATACACTTCAATTGACGCGACCAGTGAGATACACGCTCATATACACGGGCATGTACTTGCCCTTGTATATCTCTGGTTTCTTTTTCTTCAATTCTCGACATCTTTAAGACTTTCACTTCTTGATCCTTTTTCCTGAAATATGAATAAAATGAAATTAATAATAGTAAATTTTCTCAATGAATAGCTTAAAACTCTCAATTATCATTCATGAATTACAATGTAGGATCAAGTATAGAAAGCATTTATCAAATTCCCCCAGACTTGAACGATTGCTTGTCCCCAAGCAAAGAAATGGATCAATTTTACCCTTGACAACAAAGAAGCAAATTCCTGATATTTTTATTATTATTGTTGTTTTTTTTATTTTATTTTTCAAATTTTTTTTTATTTTTATTTTTATTTTTTATTTATTTATTTTTTTAGAGGGATAGTAATTCTTAAACATCAAATTGTGCCTTCTTTTGCTCTCAACCTTTGTAACTTCAGACAGAACTGAATAAGGACCTCTCTACCATTAGCTCTTAAAATTCAATTCAAAACTTTGAATCCTTCCACAAGGTATTATTTAATTTTCTTTACTTTGAGCCATGATCGGCTAATAGGGTGCATTTTATGCTCCATCCCAATTAGCACAAGGTATTAATGAAAAATTCCACCCCTTGCTTTCCACATCGGTACCTCAAACAATTTCGGGGTTCTAGGATGTGGTATCCGGACATTGCCTGCAATCCACATTCAACTAATTATGCTTCTATGGCATGCTCTTTTATTTCTGAGCAGAGCCCCAATTTTTCAGATATTAACGATTCTTAAAAAAAAAAAATTTGCATACATTCAAGGGCATAGATTCAAGGTCCTCAAATCAGAAAAATCTACCGATACTTCAATTGAGAAACAATCAAAAACACAAATCCAATATCTAGAATAACTGCATATGAATCTTTATTATTATTTTTATTTTTTTTATTTTCAGGAATATCATCTTCTATGCAACAATAAAATTGACTCAGTATTGCTCAAGAATAAAACAACAATTCAGTTCAAACATCTATAATTATCTACCCCACAGTGTAAGATTTGCATTGTCCTCAATCAAATAGAAGAGTTAGAGTGCAACTGAAACTTCCCTGAAGAGTAAGTAAATAAGCAAAGAATCTTGGGAAGCAAAACTAATCTGAGATTGACTTGAAAAGGAAACCTGATTAAAATTGATTTATAAGAAGATTTAACTCAGTTCATAATGACAAGAGGAGTAGAACGATCAAAATAATGCGATAAAGAAACAGAAGTAATAAACAGACAAAAGCAATTTAAATCATAAAAAATAACATAAGTAAAAAATTCAACAACTAAGACTCCTAATTGCAGACTAAACTGCGCATCATCTAAGTCTTCATCATCTATACTAAGAAAGTGGTCAGAAGGAGATGGGGTTCATGCTGGGGCGAGGACGCTTATTCAAAATATAAATAAATGAGCAAATAAATAACTAAATTAAAATAAACTAAACCAACCTAACCTAAACTATTCAATGTAATTCAACATTCAACATGCAACATTCAACATGGAGGAGTTTAAACTCCTCATTTGCAAAAGTTTGCAGTTGACCCCCTTGGTACAGTTTCAGCCTATGTTCATTCACCTTAAAATTTCCTTTTTCTGGATGAGTTAATTCAATTATACCACAAGGAAATACCTTATGCACAGTAAACGGTCCAGACCAATGGGATTTGAGTTTACCTGGGAATAATTTGAGGCGAGAGTTGTACAACAGTACTAAATCACCTTTTTGAAATAGTTTACCTCCCTTGAATTTTTTATGATGGTAGACCTTCAATTTTTCATCTGGCGGTTCATTAATGGATGGGTTGCGTTGCTTCTCTGATTTTCACTCCAAAACTTTGAAGTCTCTCTTTCTCCATAATGGCTTAGTGGCTTCTAAATGACACCACTGTTCTTGAGTTACCAAGCTCATATCATCTTTTCCTCTATCATGAACTAAGCTTCTTTCCAATGGGTTTGAAATCAAGAATTCCTTTGCACAATCAGAAACATAATCATTAATTACATTAATAAAGTAGCAAGAATCATCTTGTTTCAAAGACTTTTTTATCACTTCAGGAATTTTGAAAGTGACTTTTTCATCTCCAACCCTCAAAATTAACTTTCCATCCCTCACATCAATTATAGCCCCTGTAGTAGCTAAAAATGGACGACCTAAGATCAAGGGAACATTAGTGTCCTCGTCCATATCAAGAATCACAAAATCAACAGGAAAAATAAATTTGTCTACTTTTACAAGCACATCCTCAATGATACCCCTAGGATATTTAATTGACCTATCAGCTAATTGAATACTCATCCTAGTTGGCCTAGGTTCCCCTAAACCTAATTTCTTAAAAACAGAATATGGCATCAAATTAATGCTAGCACCTAAATCAGCTAAAGCCCTATCAACTATCAATCTACCAATGAGACAAGGAAGATTAAAACTCCCTGGATCTTTTAATTTTTCGGGCATCTTGTTTTGCAGAATTGCTGAGCATTCTTCATTCAGAGTTACTGTGGCCAACTCCTCCAATTTCTTCTTGTTGGACAATAGATCCTTCAGAAATTTGGCGTACTTGGGCATCTGTGCCAAGGCATTAACAAACGGTAAATTAATATGAAGCTGACGAAATAAGGAAAGAAATTTACCAAACTGTTCATTGTCTCTGTCCTTCTTCAATCTAGCTGGGTAGGGAAGTGGGGGTATGAATTCTTTCACTACAGGGGGCTTTTCCACATTCTCCTCTTGACATTTATCCTCCTCTTCAACTGCATCTTTTTCTGTTTCTTGCTTCCCCTTCTCTTGTAATGTTCTGCCACTCCTTAATGTTACTGCATTGACCTGCTCCCTAGGATTAGTCTCAGTATTGTTAGGCAAGCTTCCTTGGGGTCTTTCTGAGAGGAGTCTAGAAATTTGACAACAACTGAATTTCTAAATTATGAATAGAGGCTTGTTGATTTCTTAGTGCTGTCTCAGTGGATTAGAACCAAGATTCTGAAGTTTGAATGAATTTGGTCATCAACTCCTCAAGGTTTGACTTCTTTTCAGCTGGGGGTGGTGGTGGATGTGAAGCTTGTTGAAATCCTGGGAGTGTGTTGTTCTGCATTGGCTGTTGGTTGTTGTTCCATGGTTGGTTTGCATAGTTCCTCCAGCCCGGATTATTCATGCCATTATAATTTTGATAAGGTGGTATGTTTCCTATCACATTGGCATATTCTTTCTGAGTAGCTCGACACTCATGATTAGGGTGGCCTCCTCCGCAAATATCACATCTCATTACCGGAGCAACTTGATGGTTAACAGATAGACCATCAATCTTCTTCCCTAAGGCTTCCACTTGCATTGCCAAGGATGTTACTGCATCAAGACTATAGATCCCCGCCGATTTTGCAGGTTTGGATCGAGTGGAGCTCCATTGATAGTTGTTCATTGCCATTTCTTCAAACAGTTCTTGTGCAGCCCTTGGTGTCTTGCTATTTAAAGTGCCCCCAGCTGCAGCATCTATCATTTGTCTTGTGGCTGTGTTTAATCCATTGTAGAAGGTTTGCACTTGAAGCCAGTCCGGAATCCCATGATGTGGGCATTTCCGCAACAATTCCTTGAACCTCTCCCATGTATCGTATAATGTCTCTGACTCCAACTGATAGAAGGAAGAGATATCGTTCCTCATTTTGGCAGTTTTCGCGGGAGGGAAATATTTTGCCAAGAATTTTTCTGCCATAGCCTCCCATGAAGTGATAGACCCTCGTGGGAGAGAATTCAACCATTGCTTTGCTCTGCTCCTGAGAGAAAATGGAAATAGTCTCAAGCGGATTGCATCATCAGTAGCTCCATCGATCTTGAAAGTATCACAAATTTCTAGAAAATTTGCAATGTGAGCATTGGGGTCTCCGTCTTGCAACCCATCAAACTGGACAAACTGCTGAACCATCTGAATAACATTGGGCTTTATTTCAAAATTTCCTTGCACATCCGGACGGACAATGCTAGACTCTGTCCCTGTTAATGATGGACGAGCATAATCGAACATGGTCATTGGTTGATCTTCGTTGTTTGCCATTCCTTCCATGTGTGTTTGTGCGTTTTCCCTCTGTACTAGCAGTCGTCTCTCTTTTTGAATTTTTTTGCAAAGTTCTTTTGATTTCTGGGTCAAATTCAAATAGTTCTTCAGATAGTGCAGTAGAACGAGTTTTGATCATACACTAGAAAAATCAACTCCTAAAAAGAATGAAAGCAAAATAGTTAAGTTAATTCAAGATTAAAGAAATAAATAAAATTAGTAAATACGTAATAAAGGGAATCCTAATTAAACAGTCCCCGGCAACGGCGCCAAAAACTTGGTGTGTAAAAACTGATCACTGGGCAAGTGTACCCGTTGTCGAAGTAATATTATTAAAATTAAAATTAAAGTACCAAGTGTCGTATCCACATGGACTGTTATTAAGAAACTTTTCCTTAATTGCGTAATTGTTAATAAATATGAGAAATAAACCTTGTTGATGAAATTGCTAAAAGTAAAAGAATAATAAATTAAAAGGAACAGATATTCTAGTGAAAATAAATTATAAAAAATTATGACTAAAGGTATTCAATGTAAAAAGGCAAGTATCTAGACTGTAAATCCCCCTAAGTGTCCAAATAATTGAAATTCTTCTTCAACTACTTAGTTCCAAACCCTTATCGCTGCAGGAAATTCCAAATTAAATCAATACCTTTCTCAAGGATAATGATTCCTAACCCTCAGTTGATTAATCAAAATCTCTTCCTTAATTAATACCCCTAGGTTGCATTAAGTTCATTATGAATTCCATAATTAGGGTTAATCCTAATACAGAAAACTCACATCTTTCTATCTCTAGAAATACATTCAAGTCTTTTTAATTGAGCAATGTTAATTTCATGCAGGAATTTTACTCAAATTCAAACAAGAAAACAAGATAGAGAAAATTGATACTACTCAATTAAACTCAAGAGAAAAGAACATGAAATAGCATTAGAAGAATTCCAGAAAATTTAGTCAATTAGGATTCATTACGTCTAGATACTCAAAAGAAAGTTAGAACCTAAACATCTTGAAATTAAAATTACAAAAGAGATGAAATAAAATGCTTAATCCCATCCTCTTGCCGTTTCTGAGTCTTTCGTCTCCAAAAACTGCCTCCCCAGGTTTGAGTTCAGTTCTCCTTTTATAGGAATTATCCTAGGGTTAATTTTCTCGCAAAAGTTAAATTTCTAACACGCGTAAAAGTACACGCCCAAGTACATGGCCATGTACTTGGCCATGTACATCTCTGTTTTCTAATAGACGCCCTTCAAAGCTTTCCATAAAAGTACACGCTCATGTACACGTCCATGTATATGGCCGTGTACATCTCTGGTCTTGATGATACACTTCAATTGACGCGACCAGTGAGATACACGCTCATATACACGGGCATGTACTTGCCCTTGTATATCTCTGGTTTCTTTTTCTTCAATTCTCGACATCTTTAAGGCTTTCACTTCTTGATCCTTTTTCCTGAAATATGAATAAAATGAAATTAATAATAGTAAATTTTCTCAATGAATAGCTTAAAACTCTCAATTATCATTCATGAATTACAATGTAGGATCAAGTATAGAAAGCATTTATCAATAAACAATAGTAATAGTTTGAGATAGTAATAGCTCGACTGGTGTACTTATAAAATACCCCCTCTCCCTACCAGACGGGGGAAAAAAAATTTTAAAAAATTGAGAGATCTAAAAAGAAAAGAACAAATTTTTGGAAAAAAAAAAGAAGCAACAAGTTTACGGGGAAGATTTTCTGGATAGTAAAAGTATTTTTAGAAGATCTTATATTAAAAAAAATATATCATAGAAAAAAGGTAACCAAAAAACTTAACTGAGAAGAAAGAGGAAGAAAAATCATATTTGACATAGGTTAATATCACCCACCCACTGCAGCTCTACTCCATTATCTTCTCAGACTCTCGCACAACAAAGCTTCTTTCAGTTAAATGGATTGTTTTTTACTCTCAATTCTATTGAGCATCAGTAGTATATAAATACTTTTTCATTTCTATTGAAAAGTGATGTGCACTCGTGACTGAACGTTCATATATTAATTTTTACGATAATGTCTAATCATTTTATTTCAAAAAAATAGGTAAAAGATTGAAAAAAATTGGTATGGATTTGATGTTTTATCTGCACTTTCCCATCTCACATACTTTATACCTTCATTTGTATATGTTAAATATCTTTAGTGATTATTTTAGCTTTTCAAATTATATCTGAACATTCCTTGTTTCGTTATCCTGTTCATGCATGTTTCAATTTTTTTTTCTTTTCAAAAATATAAATTGTTATTATGTATTTAGGAACTATTGTTAAAATAGATTTTAGTTGCTGTTAATTTTATATCTAAGTTTGTTTTATTTTTTTTGACATTTTATTTGAACATTTATTTTATACTATAAATTTAGACATTTTATTATGTATATAATAATAAAATAATAATTTTTTTAATATATCATCCCATATTTGATTGCTATCTAGTAATTAAATTTTAATATATTTTTTATTTTTTATATTTTTGAGTTATTATTATTATTATTATATGAGATAGATATAAATGAATTGAAGAATCAAATTTTTTTATATGTTCTTTTATTTTATTTTATTTTTCATTTATTTAGCCATTCATTTTTTATATCGATATAATTTCATATAAGTTTGTGTGTCATTCTTTTCTATTATTATGCTAAATTATAAAAAAAATTATTATAACAAAATTTATCTAAAATTAAACAAGTAGATAATACAATATTTGTATCGATTTATAACATTAACGTGTATTTACTCTACTGTCATATGTTATAAATTGATAACACTTTTGTATACCAACGTTACTTTAGGTTTTACACAATATTAATATATTAAAAATCTTATCCGATTTCTAAAGTAATCAATTTTATCATTATTATTTTTATTAATTAAAATCTATCATTTATAACATTTTTATTATATCAGTGCAACGATTTATAGTATTATTGTGTAGCGTCTCTATCTTTATACGCTCTAAGACATAAAGGCTTTTGTTTATCAACGTTAACTCAGGTCTTATGCAATATAAATTTATCAAATAAAATTTTAATCTTTCATTAAATAACTATTTTCTTTAATTAATTTAAATATATTTATTCTTTTCATCGAATAGAATTAATTTCATATTATAATTTTTCTTAAGTCAAATTTCAAATTTTGATAAATTAAATAACTGTCATTTGTTCATTTTATTATATGAATTTTTTACAACATTAATATGTAATTTACATTATCTTCAATTGTTTAACTATTATAAGAGATTTATGTATAGCCTATGCTATATTAAATTCTCTTTCAACCTTAATCATAATTTAAATATAAATTCAAATATTTCATTTACAAATAAAAATACTTTTTAGCGACTTACAATATAGTTGTGTGATCTTCCTTCACCTTTTGTATTATTTTTCGTAGAGTACATGTATAACCACATTATCTTGTATCCTAAACATTATAATTTTATAAAAATAATTTTAATTTCAAATTAAATTTTCTTTTACTAAACTTTTTTTAGTCAACTAACTTCAGAATGTTTAGATAAAACTACATGACTTTGAATTCTCTATTGCACCTAGGGATACGTAAGAGAGAGAATCAGACCCGTCAAGTTAAAATAATTTTTAAGGTATCCATTAACATTTTAATAAATAATTTGTCTTCTTTTAAAATAAATAATAATAATAATAATAATAATAATAATAATAATAATAATAATAATAATAAATGTTTAGGGGTTAAATAAATATTTTTTAAAATTAAGATAAATTTGCACAATTAATTTAAGGTAATCATTTTTAAATGAACGTTATAGGGTGCTAATACCTTCTCTACACGTAAATGACTCCCGGACTAATTTTTGGTTTCAAAGATCATATTATTTCTAAGTATTTTCAAGGTTTTCTTAAATTAAACTTTGGTGGCGACTCCTCTGATTTTAAAAAAAATATTTTTATTCTTAAAAAATATTTTTTTTTAAACTCACATTTTTGCCATACCGTTGCGACAATAATATGAATATGATTGTTTGAGTAAATATTCAAATCTTTCTCTAAAAAATTCACAAAATCAAATTTAAATTCCTAAAAAAGATATCAAATAATCGCTAATTCCTCCCTAAATATATTAGTCTCTCTTCTAAAATATCCTTATTTAATTTAATGAAATCATCTACGTGGTTCATTAATTGATTTATATGACACATGTAATTTTCATCTTGTAATAATTAAGTTTTAACACTCAAATATGACTACTTTAATTTTTTTAGTCGTTTTGTCAATATTTTTATCATTTCCTTTAATAAAATAATTAATGTTCATTTGAAAAATAAAAATAAGAACCTTTAATTAAGATATTGTGCATTTATAACATTTTGATATCCCTTTTATTAATATACTTAGTCTAAATAAAATTTAAATGTATCATTGATTAATATGCAATAAAATATATTAAATTAAATAAATAATAAAATACTTTTAATGAAACTCAAGAGAATTTAAACTAAATTTATGTTATATTATTCATGCAACAAAAAAAAATAAATTAATAAATATAAAAAATTTAAATATTTTTATTTTAATATCTTTTTATTAAAACCTATATATAAGTAAAAAAAAAATTAAATGGGTATTAAATTAATGTACAAGTTTTAAAAAATTTTACACAATAATTTAATTATGATTTGTCATACCAAATAAAAATAATTAATAATAAAAATATGCTTATGTTATATTCTAGTTAATTGATAGTGTGAAAATTGTTTTATACTAACAATGTACTAAATAATAATACATAAAAAACATAATAAAAATAAAATAACTATACGATGTGTGTTGTGGTACCCTAAAAAAATTTTATGGGTACTGTACTCAAAAAATTTAGACTAATAAAAAAGAAACACGTGTCAAGTTAAAAAAAATTATTATATATAATTTATTTAAAGTTATATTATTTATATTATTTATTACATAATTTATTATTATTATTATCATTATTATTATTATGTATACTTAATTTTTTTTTATTTCAAATAAAATATAATTTATATTAAATTTATTTAATAATAAATTGTTATATTTGTTATTTTAAACAAGTTAAAAACCAGTTAAATTTTTAAATAAAAATAATGTGCAATCAAAATTAAACTAATTAAAATAAAAAAATATTATATTAATATATTTTCATATTCTTAATTTTATTATTATTAATATTTAATTTTTTAATTATTATATTAATATATTATGTTATAATTATTTTTTATTTATAATAAATAAAAATTACTTAAATATAAATTATATTTTATTTAAAATAAATAAAAAAATTATACTAAAAATAAAAAATTAAATATACAATATATATATAATAAGACTATGTAATAAATAATATAATTTTAATAAATTATATATAATAATTTTTTTAAACTTGATACATATATCTTTTTATTGGTCTAAATTTTTTGAGTATGATACCCACAAAATTTTTTTAAAGTACCACAGAATTTACTTATACACATTTTATCATAACTAAAGATAAAAATTAGAATAACACTTTAGAAACTGTTTGAAAATGAAAATTTTAAAAGGAAGAAGTAGAAAAGTAAATTTTATATTTTAAATTAATATTTGAATATAAAAATATAACTAACATATTAATTATATATTTATCATATTTTTAATTTTTAATTTAAAAATTAAAAATGTTATTTTCTCTATTTTTTTCTAAAAATTCTCTTCCGAATATATCCTTTATATGATATATTAGTTTCGATTTTAAAAAGGCAAGTAAAATATTTAAAGATAACAATTATAAAAAATTTAAATTATATTAAATAGTAAAATACTATATGAACTATATAATTTATTCACTTTTCTATATATATATATATATATATATATAAAGATGAAGTTTAAATAATGAAATAAAATTATCTAGATTTCATATTTTGTAATTTTTTTATTTTAATATTTTTTTACCAAAAGATTTAAATTTATTATTATTTATTTTATTATAATTATGAAACATATAATTGCATAAATATGTTCTTAACAATAAATGTATCTTTAAATTACTGATGACTTATGGCCTCTTTTGTTGTTAAAGATTATATTGCAAACAAACAAATATACATTAATTTAATATAATCAGCTATTATCATGGTGTATTTAAAAATTTCAACTGTTTCCAATTTTAATATTTTTTTTGTTAGGGTTTACTAATCTTACTTTTAATTCAACAATGTCTAATTACATTACAATCTATGGATAAATCACATAATTCAGTGGTTAGAAGCCGACAGCTGCAAATTATGAACATAATTCAGTAGTATGTCTTAAGCAAAAAGAAAATATAACAAAAATGTGACACGTGGGGTAATTTAGCTCCATAATCATAAATGAGTGTCCAAATTGATGTAATTAATTTTTAATTAAATCCGTTTGAACACAATCTTACGAGGCTTTTCTATCTCCCAAGATCGATCCCCGTGTGATGGTGTATTCAATGTCAGTTTCGAAGAAGCAGAAAGTGTCACAGAGAAGAAATGGGAGAAAGAGACTCATATAGTATTATACTATTATTTTTCGTATTATATTAATATTAATTACCATATATATTAATGAATTTAGCCATTTATCCATGTCCTGATAAAAGGAACAGGGAGATTCAGAAGAAGTAATAAAGAGTGAGTGGTATAAAGAAGAAGAAGAAGAAGAGGAGGAAAAATGAGAAAACCCTAATTGGAGGATGTGATATGATTATATATGATCGATGGAAGAGAAACCCTAGAATCGGAGGGGTATAATCGACGGCGACGTAGATGCTTGTTGTGGTTGGAGTGTCGTGGGATCTGAATTGGTTCCTGCAACTCTTAGTCTCCGTTATCGTTGTGGCCGTTGGGGTTCACATTTTCGTCAAAACCACTGCTTCCAAGTACTTCGAGGTTGACGCCAATTTCGAAGGGGATCAACACCCTCTCCCCGACGCAATGCCTGGCATTCTCGCCGCCGGCGACACTCTCTGCGCCGTCTGCGCAACACGCGCCACCAAAAAGTGTTCCCGCTGTAAAGCCGTTCGATATTGGTACGTTATTTTGTTTATGAGTTTCTTTTTGTTTATTAGTTTTGGTTATTAGTTAGTTGAGTGTGTTTCGCGATGTGAATTCAGGGGTTAGTGATCAAATTGACAGGTTTATGTCGTTTGTTTTCCTGGGTTGGGAGCTATACTTTGGAGGGTATGAGAATGGAGGATAATTTTTTTTTTTAATTTCTAATTAATATGGTTTAATTTCATAATTTTTTTAAATAAAAGTCATGAACTGATAAATTAGGATTAATTTAACGTGTTAAGTTTTTATTTTATAAATATTAATTATTTTAAATTGAAAAATAAATATTTATTTTTTCCTCTCTTTCTCTCCAAAACTCAACTAAATTTAGTGGTTGAGTTTTTGTTTTTTAATAGAAAAAGAAAAGTAACTGAATTTAGTTTGCATGTTGTGCGTGTTGATTTTTCAGCTCACAAGAATGCCAGCAGTCGCATTGGAAGTCTGGGCATAAAACGACATGCAAGGATTTTTCGGCTCAAAATGGGGCAACAACTAATCGAGGGTTAAAGGCTTCTGTTGCTGGGAGTAAAAGCTCCACTTCAATTGCACTCATACCTGCCTCTGGAGCAACGCCTTCCAGGCCAATCAAGCAGCCTAAAGATGTAATTTTCTTTATTGAAGTATTGACAAATTCATATTATGTGCATTGCTTACCATAGGAAGTCAAGGGGAAAAGGCAATTTTGAGGCACTAGGTTTAGATGACTTGAAACAAGATGCCAAAATGCATGCACCTTCGTAAAGAAAATAGTTACCATTAGGGTAAAAAAAATACTCTACCCTTGTCTATTTTGCGTTAGTTTTCCATGTTAAGTAATTGCTCAAGATAATAAGAATATATGATTATGATTTCCAATTGTCAAAACCTTAGCTACTTGTTCCATTGTGTCAGTGCCTCTGACTTTATTGTGTATATGGGGACAAATCTTATATATATATATATATGTAAGATAGAACACCGCTAGAATTTGGGATTAAACACACTAATTGAATAGACAATTACAGCAGAAGCTGTCTTTGTTTTAACAACTCTAACAGATAATAACCCTGTCCAAAGAACTTCCAAATCTACACATAAACTGTCTATTTTCATACAGTGCATATCATATATGACAATTACATATCTGCTTCTCCTTAACTTAATTACTGTCTACAATCAAACCATGTATAAAATTACTGCTCCTACAGATCAGCCAACATGACGATTAATATTAATATGAATATTTTAATATTATATTTAATAATACACGAGTGCTCTTGATAGTAATTATTAATTCCTGATAGTAATTATCAATTCCCATCATATTTTCTCACTTGCTCACCAAAATTATATGTTTTATCTTCTTTAGGTTCTTTTTCCTTATGATGAATTTGTCAATTTTTTTAACTGGAACAAGCCAGGATTTCCTCCTTGTGGACTCTTGAATTGTGGAAACAGGTTTGCCCTTTTTTCAAGCTTAAGCTTTATTTTGCTGTCCGCAATTAATTGTGATTTGAGGATTTGGGAAATGAAATACATTATTGAAATTTTTTTCAGTTGCTTTGCAAATGTGGTTCTTCAGTGTCTCTCATTCACAAGACCACTCGTTGCCTACTTGTTAGAGAAGGGCCACCACAGAGAGTGTAATGTCATAACTCAGAGCTTTGGTTATCGCTGGATGTCAATTATTCCTCATGTCATGCTTACGTTGTTGTTGGTGGTTCTTCAGGCTGTTGTAATGATTGGTGCTTTCTATGTGATTTTGAAAATCATGTTGAAAGAACAAGGCTAAGTTCACAGGCATTTTCTCCAATGAATATTCTCTCTCGTTTGCCTAATATTGGTGGTACACTCGGTTACGGAAGACAAGAGGATGCTCATGAGTTCATGAGGTTGTTTTTACATGCAACATTGTCATTTCATTTCTTGTAGTGAATTATTCATTGACTGTTAGCTAAGATGTCTGTCTTATGAGTTTGGCAAAATGTAGATGGTAACTTTTTCAATATTTTTTCTGTAGGTTTTCCATTGATACTATGCAATCTGTTTGCCTTGATGAATTTGGTGGAGAAAAAGCTGTCCCTCCTAACTTTCAGGAGACAACTCTTATTCAACACATTTTTGGTGGCCGCCTTCAATCTGAGGTTAGGCATCTAATCAGACTGAAATAAACACTTTCTTGTTAGAGTGGTTGCCTTCTGTTGTTTCATTACATGAGTAATAAATAAAAATATAGAGACTAATGATTATGATGGCATGGGATCATTAATTTCTTGTGTTTTTTCCCACTATCTTTGAACTCAAGAAGTTTGTCTAGTGTAAGTGCTAAGACTCCATAATGGTGTAGAACTCCATTTAAGGTTGAGCTTTGGAGAGTAACCTAATAGCCTATTTTGTTTCTGTTTTTAAGAACAGTTTTATGTTTTCAGAAATAATCAAACAGTAATAATACCTGTTTGAATGAATGTTTTCTGTTTTTAATTTCCAAATACAATATAACACAATACACAAGTCAAAAACAAGTAAGCAATAAAAATTCATTTTAGTTTATGGTTTGGAAAATGGAAACAATAAAAAGGCATGAACAGCACTATAATTAATGGAAATATCGTAAAATTGTAATTATCAGCATGGTTATCGAAACTGGATTCATACAAATATTGTGTATTGTAAGATTCATAATCAATAACTAAGATTACCATGAAAAATATGTTAACATAAAGAAACATAAAAATACATCTATGTATTGATATTCTAAAGTAATAGCTAATGGAAATTTTGTAAAATTGGAATTATTGGCATGGTTACCAAAGCTGGATTCATAAAAATATTGTGTATTGTAAAATTCATGATCAATAACTAAGAATACCATAAAAAATATGTTAACATAAAGAAACATTAAAAATACATCTATATATCGACATTCTAAAGTAATAGTTAATATAGGGAAACATAAACTTCAAAATATGGCAAGATTGAAGCCGTAACAGTCACAAGACAAAAAAAGGACTACTGAATTCAGCTGTATATCCCATAAAAAAAACCCAAAAATTACAGAGGTCACTATTTCCTATTCTAAATGCCTAATCTCATGATCATCATTGATCTTCAAGATCAATGTCATTTAGTTCCAGGGCCGGGTAGTGCTGCTGTCAGCCACTACAGATCTTCCATTGTGGTGCATTTTTCTTTATCAGATGTCATGGTCACTTGAGGCCCAAATAGCAGGGTTTTTGGCAGTGATAGTACTGCTACAGTGGGCAGGGAGAAAAGCCACTTTTGCTCTCAGAATGGTGTCATTTTATTTATTTATTTATTTATTTTTGAAAGGGGGAAGGAGGAGGAGTGTGATTAGGAAAAAAGTTCACTTTTTTCACTTTATTTTAGAACATTAAGAAACCCTAAACTCAAGTATTTTCCCATGCTTCTCATCTTTTCTTTTGTTTGAAACCTCTCTTCTCTTTGTTCAGCCTCTGTTTCTGTGACCAGAACCACCCATCGCTGTTGGTTTATTCAGGCAACACCCTTCACTCTTCTATCCACCTCTGATCTGAACATTAGTTTCTTGGAGGCTTGGAGCTAGAAAACCAACAAAGAAAGTCAATGATATGCATTTAACTTCTAGTGTATATTGTTTCAAGTTTAAAACAAATACTTGTTTTCCTTTTCTAGCTTGGCATCTCTTCTTCAAAAGCAAGGTACTCGTGTATGCATCCATGAAGCATCAATTGGTAAGCAAGCATCAATAGTTTTTTTTCTTAGTATTAGGTGTGGGTATCATTGGAAGGGGTAGAATGGCACTTTCCCTCCAAATTCACACGAAAAACTTGCAAAATACCGACACCCCCTTCTCCCCTCCCCTCCCCTCCTCCAGGAATTGCTGTCCGGTGGACAACTTGAACCCTAACCTGCTTTAATGCATAATATGGTTGATCAAGAATTGTGTGATAGAGATTCTTTCAATTCAGCTGCAATACATATTCAAGTTCTGATTCAGCACCAGAAACTGTTTAGGATGTGATCTGAATTGCTGAATCTCTGAATATAATTGAAACACACTAATTGTATTGCAATTCATAGATTGTGACATGGTAACAATGATTATTGATTTACAATTTCACACTGCAGAAACAAGAAGAATCAAATGGTCTGTATAATTTTTTTTTTGAACTTTTTTGTTCTTCAAAACTGTTTACAAGTTCTGTTTTACAGAATTGATTTCAAAATCAATAAAAAAAACTGAACCAAACATGGATAAGTGGATATGCCCCATTATCTCTGTAGGTTGAAATTTCTTGTTCTCTTTAGATGAATACAATTACAAACCTTGTCTCTCTTTATATAGTCAGTGTTTGGAGAAATTGCATTAGAGTCTTATTCTTGTTTCTCAATTTTTTTATGAGTTAAAAACTTTTTAAAAATTGAGCTTATTGTTCAATATGCAATATTTTAAGATTTCCCACATTGGTTAGCAATAGAGTCAGAATATTCTTTACAAAGGCTTTGGTAGTCTTCTTCCTATGAACTAACTTTTGGAAGTGAGTTAGATCTAAGTTTGTTAATACAATTATTATGGCAATGCAGTTGTACTTGCTGTTATTTACAGACTAGCACATACCTTTTCAGTATATTCGGGAATAACACCTTTGTAAAATGTCATGAAATGCATTGTGTTATTTTGATGCTGAGTGCTGACATGGATGCGGCTGTTTGTCTTGTTCTTTTTTCTTGTGAAACTAAATAGGTGATTTGCACAAAATGTGATAAGATTTCAAATCAGTATGAAAATATGATGGACTTGACAGTTGAAATTCATGGAGATGCTGCCTCATTGGAGGAATGTCTGGACCAGTTTACTGCCAGGGAGAGGCTTGATGGGGAAAATATGTATAAATGTGAGGGGTAAGGTTACCCTGCCCATTGAATGATACTTGTACCTTGACAAGGTTTATTGTCACATTCCATATTGTTTCTTGCCATTGATGTCAGCTTGCTTTAAAAATAATATTTAGTTATACTCAGAGTTTTTGTAGTTTGATTAATTGAATGTAGATGATGAGAGAACATGAGAATTTTATATTACAAGTCATAGTAGTTAATTCCGGATAGCAGCGCGGAGCGGCTGACTCCCAAAACACTATAGCGGGATAGCAGGATGTCTGCTATTGCAGACAATCAAAACAGCAAAGGAAAATAGATCAAATAGTGGTCATTCATCGAAAAAATCTCTAATGCAGATGGTCTCGCTGGAAAATGTCTCACTATTATTAGAAAATATCTACATCTTGTCAGAACTAGTTTCGGTTTCGCTGGAGATAAAGAAGAAAATTGAAACCTGGCTGGAAATGGTGACTCACATGAGAAAGTGGTACTGGAGATGGAGGACAAAGCAAAAGAACGAGAGAACCAAAGATGGAGGTAGGGTTCGATCTTGACTTGTGAGGACAGAAGAGAAATTGCTATGTAAGTAGGAGGCAAAATCCTAAGATTGCCCCCCTTAAAAAGCTTTCCAACTTTAAGAAAGGGAGGGTAAACTTGTCCTTTTGCCCATTTTTGATATAGCAATTATGATGGCCACAGTTTTCACCTTTCATGGTCACAAATTGTGGTCACTACACAGAACCATGACGCGACAGCCCTAGGATCACAGCAGGGAGCTGCTCCTCCGCGATCTCGCCCACTATTCCCGCTATTGACTACTATGTTACAAATTGAAATGGAAGTTGGCCCCTCTCCCTCTAGTCGTTCAAAAATTAAGTTCAAAGATGTTCTGTAATAGTAAAAACATTGATAGTAATGATGTAAAATATTGTTAGCTTTAAAACTAAATTCAAAATTTGTGCCAGGGAACTATTAAAAAACATTTGTGGTCTCATCTGCATAAAGGTGACCATACCCCTTAATTTTAATGACCAAGATATTGAGGTAAGAGTTTAGGCTTTCCAAAAAAATTATGTTAATTACATTCTAAATGGAATCTTTTTGAACTGATCCGTGTCCCCATAATAATGATCCAAATTGATAACTATTACTATAAAAATCTTTATTGGATTCAATTATGTATGTTGCATTATGAGTTTAAGTTATCAGCTTTCTTAATTTAGCTTTTATTGAAGAATTTGGAAGTGTTGATCATATGATGTATCAATGTCAAATCATGATGCTTATGTTGACATATGTCAATAGCTTTGTAGTTTTCTGGCCATTACAAAATGAATATTGCTTGAGAATTAACCATAATAATTATCCTCATTATAGTTGTGGGTTTTGGTCTTTGTTATACTAGATTTCTAATTCAGTTCTGTTTCCTATTAAAAAATATAGGCTTGTGACTTTTCTTTTTTTTTTTGGAAAATTTTAAGTGTGTATTTTGTTAACCAAGATGCACAATTTGGGAAGATTTTATAAATAGGAAACTTTCAATGGTGGAAAGTGAGTGTTGTCAATGAAAATAAAATTCAAACATTTGCCTTTGATAATGTATTTTTGCTGTTAGATCCTGTTCTTAAAATAAGCTTTCCTGCTGCTTGTCAGGTGCAAGGATTATGTCAAGGCATGGAAACGTCTTACAATAAAATGTGCTCCAAATATTCTTACAATTGCCTTGAAAAGATTTCAGGTCTGAGTGATTTGATTAATTTGATCTAGACATGCTTGCTAAGTTGTCTGATGCTATAAGCTGTTAAACTTTAGATATCAACTGTATAATTCTAGTACTTTCTCATCATGTTTTCCATGTGATATATGAATTGTATGGATGTTAATTTAGCATGATTACATAGCATACTTTCAGCACATTAACTTTTACATCTACTAGTATATAAAAGCTTGAAAGGCTTATATGCGTTGTTAACTTCTCCTATCAAGTTTTCTTATGTTTATTTTTTGGGGGTGTTGTGTGCATGCAGAGTGGGAGGTTCGGGAAACTTAACAAGAGAATAGCCTTCCCTGAGACTTTAAATCTTAGCCCCTACATGAGTGAAGCTGGAGATGGATCTGATATTTATAAGCTATATGCTGTTGTAGTACATATTGATATGCTAAATGCTTCATTTTTTGGTCATTACATCTGCTACATCAAGGATTTCCAGGGAAACTGGTATAGGATTGATGACTGGAAGGTAGATATCCGTGTCTCCCAATCCAAGTTTGAATATTTTTCTTTTTGGCCACTGAGTACTCTGAATGTACTTGAACATGCAGTAAACTTAGCCTCATTTGTGTTGCCTTACATTTCTCAGGTTACGAGCGTGGAGTTGGAAGATGTACTTTCTCAGGGAGCATATATGCTGTTGTATAGCAGGTATTCTTGTTACCATGTATTGAAGAGGCTAATGCTCTCTCTCTTTCTCTCACACAAATTAATCCAGTGTGTCTGTGGTTTCTATCTTCCACTTCTGGTGCCTGAACGACATTGCCCTTTGAACATGGTTTTGTCAGATGGGATGTGAATTTTCATATGATAGAATATCTATTCAGGCTCAATTAAAATCGAATCCTATCTTTTCATCTAATAGCTCAAGTTTATTCTTTATGCTGATATTAAATTGGTCTTAGTCTCGGGTTATCTATGAAGAAAATAATCACCCTTGTCTTAAAAGTCAAATTTTAGTTATTCTGTGCGGAAGTCCACATAGCAGCTTTGTATCCATGGTCCCAAGTTGAGCTAGCAAGTACAGGTTTGAGTGTTCTTACCTTTGTTAAGTGGTTTTGATGACTAACAAGACCTGCATTAGATCGTTTGATTTTTTGAATCATTGAAAAGACCAACTGTTATAACAACAGATCAACCTTTTTATATGGAGTAAATCATCAGTTCCTTGAATTACAATCACCAATCATTTTAGTTCCTGAAATTTTGAAAAAAAGTCTCCTTGAAATTGACAATTGGTGATCTGTTCAGTTCCTGACGATAGGATCTGTCAATTTGATCCTTGACTTTGGCAAATGAGTTAATTTGGTCCCCAACTTCAAAATGCTTCAATTAATTTGATCCCTGACATTAAGACCAAATTGACTTGTTAGAACTCTCAGATTTATAGTGAGAAAAAGAGGGATATTGTATTAATTAAAATGAGAATTATAGAACCAATATTCTGGACTCTAACAAGCTCAAAGCCTGCGGCTCCTTCAGAGGAATGCTCTATGCATTCTATGCCAAGCAAAACTGCTTCACAACACACTACTATACTGCTGCCTCCCTTCTACCCCTTCTCTCATTGTGTTCCCTTTCATATGCCACAGTCACTCTCCCCAGTTGTAAACTAACTTGCATATTCCCTCTATTTGGTCTTGTGCCCTTTTTACCCAGCTCATATTACTTATGGTTGTCAAATTCCAGGACTAACTTGTTTGTTTGTTAAGCTTCATCTTTCAATGTATTCTGTTGTGGCCTTTTCTTTGGTTTACATTGGTGAATATATGCTTATATTACAAATCTCAAATAAAGAATGTTTGTGATAATTGAAGTTGGGCCAGATGCATGTTGCTTTTCTGAACAGTTATTAGTGTCAATTTCTTTCTGAGAAGAATGTTAAATATTGCTTGATTTGATCCTGGACAGGTGTAGTGCCAGGCCATCAGGCCTTCATATTCAAACAAATGAATCTTCAGGGATAGCAGAAGTGCGAACAATGGAAGTTAAAGTGGAGCCTGGACAAACTGAACAAGATGAATGCCTCTCAAATATGAAGACTTTGAGTTGTAGTAGAGGTTGTGGAGTTTTTCCACCTGATAATAGTCCAGAACCAAACCTCAGCTATGACCACGAGTCTTCTACTGGATTGAACTCAAAAACTAAGAGAGAGCGGTTTGAAGATATAGACGTGATTGATGTTGATTCAACTGGTACTGCAGATGAGATTTCTTGCATTGCTGTTGAATCATCTTATGTGCCTATTTCTCAAGCCAGCAAAGATCTGGGGGATGTAGATGTTAGCAGATCTTTAGAAGAGACTTCAGGCTGCATGGAAGAGCAAAATGATACTAACATGGCCAAGTCTGGTCCTTGTCTAGGTTTACTGAATGACTCTTCCTTCTTTGATAACCCTTCTTCTGTTTCAAGGAATCATCAACGAAACGTGGAAGATGATTCAGAACATACAGATGTGGTTAAAGGCAAGTTGATTGCTGCTAAAGATAATGCATATTATGGTAATGGATTCGTCAGTGAAAATAAGTTCGCTATTCCAGTTGAAGATGCTAGCACACATTTTTCTGGCATTGGTTCTTTTCCCAATGAAAATGACAAAGGAAATGGAATTAAGAAAGTGGAAAATATCAGCTGACTTCAAGGAGCCGCTATTTTTGTCGTGTCTTCATATCATTTGATTATCCCATCATCGAAAGGTGGTGAGTTGGGAAATTTTTGTCTGGGGTTTCATTATTTGCAGGAACCTTGGATCTCATTGTAACATTTCCAGATGGATTTTCTAATTTAATTTTACTGATAGAAAACAACTGTCCTTATTTCCCTTCACTCTTTGTAAATAAGACAACAAATTTCTAGGTTGCCGCGTACCTCCATCGTTGGGTATGTTTAGTATAATTAATTTTGAAAATTTAGTTTTCGAAAATTTTAACCAATCATAGGCTAACTGAAATCAGTTCTTGATCCTGAATGTCTTTAATATTTGTTAAATTAATTAATGGTTTTTCTAATTTCTGCCTAGGGACACATGATATGAGAAAAAATATATATATTAAAAAATATAGCATTTAATAATTTTTATGCCTTAAATTCTGTAATATTTTGTTGTTATACATAAATTTTTAGCGTTTTTAGGTTAGAAAAATTGATATTTTTTTTTTGCTCAAAGAAAAAAATGATTACTCAAATGGTAATTCGCAATGTGATAGCACAAAATACTAAAACAAGCATAAGGGAATGATAACTTAACCCAACATCTACCGTCTAGTTTAGAGGCCCAAAGAGGTAGTCGACCAAAGACCAAAGAGAGATTCCATAGAGGAAGTTCATTACATCCTTCTTCTTTTTTTAAAAGAAAGGGGCCAAAAGCAAGGCCAATTTAACGAGCGAATGAGGCTGCATCATGTGCGGATCAAGACCATATATTGGGGCCTTAGTGGCTATTGGGTGTGTGTGAGCATCTACTTGAGCTGAAAGCACACGAGGCGCAGGAAAAGAAAAAGACCACAATTAACGGCTTTTGCTTTTCAACATTTTCCTTCACTAATCTAATCTTATTATTCTAATGAAAAAAAAATACTTGTCTTGTGGATGGGGCTTGAGCATTGACTTGTAATTGCACAACACAGCAAAGCAAAAGAAGACAAAGATTCCTTAACGAGGAGCCAAAAGGAGCCAAGAATAGAGGGTTGCTTCTTGCTTTTGCTCTAAGAGGGTCAATTACAAATCACACGAGTCACAGACAAAACCCAAGCCCTCCCCTTTGACAATTGACATTGTTGATCCACTTTGAAACTCTGTGGTCCTTTCTCTTCCTTTTATGCAAAGTAAAATGATTAAATAAATGTGCCAGCAGTTTTTTGTTTGCCCGCTGAGTGTACCCTTTTTATTTTTCAACCCGAATCCAAAGCATATAGATAGCTATGGCCTTTAAGCGGAGTCAACTACTTATCTTATCTAATAGACTAATGCCATAGACATAGACATCCTATTTTGCATCGAAATTTATGATTAAGCCACACAACACAACCCCAACACACCCGTGTGTGGCGTGTGCGTGTGCCTTGTCATCATCACAGTGTCAAGTGTCAACCATCTAACACCAACAAAAAGAGTTCCCGAGGAAGCTTCCTACCTCGCTTCCTACTTCTTGAGCTCCCTTTCCCTTTTTCACTTTTTTTCTGCTCCAAAGTCCATTTTAAACACACAATCCAAACCCAACCCTGTTGTGTTCTCCAACACACTCTCACTCACCACTGTGTCCGTGTGTTTGTTTTCTTATCCACTCAACGAAGCTGTTGCTGCTTCAGTTCTATAAGGTACTTTTTCTCACCTTGATTGATTTTGTTCTTCTGTCATCATCATAGTACTGTTTGGGGGTAATTCATAAGTTATTCAAACCCCTTCCAGCATGTGTTTCCTGAGTGAACTTTTCTTTTTTATTTGGATTTTGGATTATCCTTTTTATTTAGTCATTATGTGAGGGTTTCTACAAAAGGGGTAGTTTGCATTTCAAGTCTCAAGCTTCATGTTTGCTGGTAAAGGATAGCTTACTAAGCTAGAAGGGTGTCTTTTTTTTGTTGCCGGAGGGGGGGGGGGTTGATTCTGCACCTTCAATTGGTTATCAAAATTCAAGAAGACTCGCAATTTTTGTTGCAAATCTAAATGGGACTGGGGAAAAAGGGGCAAGTCTTGATCTTTTTGGGTGTAGATAACCTTTTGGGTTATTTGTTAAGGGCCACTCATTCAATTTGATAGTATTCATTCACATAAATTGGCTTTTATGATTGGTATAACCTTTAAAGTGGAAAAAATTGTTTTCTAAAATAACGATTTAGTTCCTTTGTTTGTTTCTGCAGTTGTTTACTCCAAATTTCTGGTCAATGGAACATAGTTTAAAAAGAAAATATCCAGAAAATGGGGATCATTTACGCTTCAACAGCTTTTCTCTAGATGACCTCAATGAAGATCTCTTGGAAAGGGTACTTTCCTGGTTACCAACTTCCTCATTCTTCCGCGCTACTTCTGTGTGCAAAAGGTGGAAATCAGCTGCTTCTTCAGTGAGTTTCAAGCTTGCTTGCTCACACATTCCTTCGCGGGATCCTTGGTTTTTGATGGTTGCTCCCAATCTCAACCAATCTATTGTCTTTGACGCTGCTCAAAACAGTTGGAAAAGACTCAATCACCCACATCTTCTGCTTGAAGACTCTAACAAAAGCTGCATGCCTGTTGCAGCCTCTGGTGGCCTTGTTTGCTACCGCAAATTGTCAGGAAACTTCATTGTGTGCAATCCTGTGAGCGGATCTTGTAGTGAACTCCCTCCATTGCATTTTGCCCCTGAAAATCAATCTCTGAATGCTGTCGTGATGAGTACAACTTTCAAAGATCAAATCTCCTACAAGATTGTGTTAATCTTTGGTGAACTTCCTAATCTCGTGTTTAAAGTCTACAACTCAAGCTCTGGCTGTTGGGAAGATGAGACTTCGCTGAGGAGAAAGGTTGATGATAATTCCATGGATTGCGATTCAACTGATGACAATGTTATTTACTTCCTTAGCAAGGCCGGAAATGTGGTGGCTAGTAGCATGCAGCGAAGCCCATCAAAGCAATATTCTTCAGTTATTACATACAAAGATGATCAAGAGATTGTGTATTTTCTTAGCTCCTCTGGGACAGTAGTTGCTTGCAATTTGACATGCAAGTGCTTCTTTGAGTATCCTAGGTTGTTGCCTGTTTTCAGTGAGTACTCCATTGATATCGTGGAGTGCAATGGTGAGATGGTGGTTGTTTTGTTATCAGAATTCTTGGAAAGCACAAGTCTTAGGGTGTGGAAATATGATGAGGCTAATCGATGCTGGCAACAGATTGCAGCCATGCCTGCAGCAATGTCTCATGAATGGTATGGAAAGAAGGCAGATATTAATTGTGTTGGAGCTGGCGATCGAATTTTTGTATGCTTGAACTCTCTTGAGCTATGTACTTACATTGTGTGTGATTTGGTGACCAACAATTGGGTTGAATTGCCAAAATGTTGCATAAATGGAGAAATCATGGAGTTCATGTCTGCATTTTCATTTGAGCCAAGAATAGAGGCTTGTGTGTGAGACTAAAATTTCCCAGCCTTGGTATCTTGATTTTGTTCATCATTCCTTTGTGTTCTATTAGCTTAAATGTTCTTTTCATTTGTACTTAGTGCAGATTGGTATGAAAATAGAGATGGAAGCTCTAACCAAATGATTGATTGCTAACTGAGATATTGTAATTCTCTTTATTGATTGTTAGATGTATACACCGTTTTCAGTTAATGGTATTATCAATGAATGACCTTGTTAACGATCCCTTCTCCTTGGTTTTTCCCTAATTGTGATGCACATGTTAGTGACAAACTGTCCAAATATTAAGGGGGGTTTGGTTTCAGATTTTTTTTTACTGTTAATTATAAAAATACAACTTTTTTTTCTGTTTTCTATTTTCATGGATTTGTATATAAAATATTGAAAATTTGTTTTCACTATTTTCTTTATAATTTTTTTGAAATAGAGAACAAAATAAAAATAAGGTGAGATTTTTATAATTAGAAGTGAAAATAAAAAAATGTAAAAACATTTTTTGGTTTGATCAATTAATTTTTTTAGCTAAATCCATTTCAGTCCTCCGAAGATATAGGTGATATGAATTTGGTCAGAAGAAAATTGACATTAATTTAGTTCTTATTTTTTACAAAATGTTGCTTTAATATCACCCTTCCTGTTAAAGAAACATAAAACTGTTGAGCATCTAATTGGTTTAAAACGCAAATGGGACGAGGTTGTCTTCTTTCTCTTTGGTTTTGACCTTTCAAAATAAGTCATTAGTATTTGTCAATTTCATATAATGGTCTAAAATGTTGAGGATCGATATGTCAAATCTCATAAATTTTAGCAGGTGGAAAATAAATGGCACAATTAAGGACTTCATTGAGAAGCTGATTACTTTCAATTATATGACCTTTTTGTTTTTTTCCTTGCCGTGTCAGTAGGGATGGAATTGTGCGGATGGAAGGATTTTACTCTAACCTTTTTAACTTAATTTAATTTATTTTAATAATAAGTTTAATTTAACTTGTTCAAAAGGAGTTTAAATTATGCTAAGTCTAAGTTTTTAAGACTTAGCATAATTTAACTTATTTAAGTAATATGTTTAAATTAAATTTTTTAAAAATTTTAATTAATTAAATAGGTTATGCTTGAACTTAAAAAAAATTTATTAGGCCTATTAGAATGACCTATTTAAAATTTATAATAATATATTAAATAATTTTATATTAAAGTTATAATATAATATTATATTAAATAAATTAAATTTTAAAATAGATAAACTCTTAAATCATAAACTCTAATCTTTTTATTGGAGTTTAAAAGTGTTCATATTATATATCTTTTAAGAGAGAGAGTTTTACTCGTTAAAGTCTGTTGCGTTATTATTGTTTGATTTATACATAACGTTGATTTGTGTTTGTTATTTTGATTATATATTTTAATAAAATAGAAATATAATTTTATTATATATTCAATGTGTTGAACCATTTTTTTTATAACTTACGTAGATAGTTTAATAGCCAATTTAAAAAAATACTTAATAACCTATTGAAGGTTTAAATACAAAGTAAACTATTAAAAAATATAATACGTTAAAGTAGACTTTTAAAAAGTATAGGCTAAACTTAATAAAAAACTTATAACAGATAATAGATCAGACTTAGGTTTCAAATTTATTGCTTATTTAAACAGTTTAATAACGTATTTTAAAAAAATACTTAACAACTTATTGAAGGTTTTAATACAAAGTAAACTATTAAAAAGGTTAATAGGTTAAAGTAAGCTTTTAAAGAGGACATGATAAACTTAAATAAAAATCATATAATAGATAATAAATCAGATTTAAGCTTCAAAATTATCAAATAAGTCAGATTTATTTATGCAAAGCTTAGCCTAATTTAGTATATTTTCATTCTTACGTATTAATATGTTGCACCATCTCATTAAAATTAATAAATAAATAACTCGTTCATTTTCTGTGCATTATATAGTTATCATTAAATTAAATTAAATTTTATAAATATTTTACAATTTAATAAAATTCTATTAATTTAAGAAATTAATTTTTTATAATAATAAATATATTATTATGTTAAATAAGTTATAGAGATAAAAATTTTAAAATGAAAATATCAATTTAAATTAAGAATTATTAAAAAAAGAGTAAACTAATACATAAAACACTTACATTTTCTCCTTAAAAATATTTGTTTAAAAAGTAAAATTCAAATTATAAGCTTAAATAAAGTTTTAGCCCTATAGAAGTTGTTATATTTGAAATTAATATTTAGAAAATTGTTAAGATTTATTCTCTAATAAATAAAGTGAATAAAAGATTAATTTTTATCATTAAACTTGGTTTCTTATGTATCATATTAGCTAATAAAATTTTAACTTAGCATTATCATGAACCCTTGATAAACCTTTATCTCAATTAATTAGCACATGTATTTAAAAATATTTTATGATGAAAGCTTAAACAATACTTTTTTATTTCATAAAAATTATTGCATTTGGAATTAGTCTTTCAAAGAATATGTTAGAATTTACTTTTCCACAAATTAAGTACAAAATTAATTTATATTATTAACCTTTATTAGTCAAGTACTGAATTAGCCAACGAAGTTTAATTTAGCATTATCACATGTTAAATATTCAACATACCATTATCTTAATTAATATATAATTGTTATAGGTGATGTGAAGGATAGACCCTAATAATCATGTCAAAACATGGTTGAATAAGATATACTTGCATGAAAATTTAGTTTTATGGCCATTTGGAAGTTGAGCTGTATGAAGAAAACAAGTTTATAGAGAAAGAAAAAAATAAAGACAAAGCAGAACACCAAATTAGAGTCCTAATTTTCAAACAAAAATATTTTTGGATAATATTTTATAATTAGAGTCCTAATTAAACAATAATATTTTTGGATGTTAAATTTCTTTCCTTTTCTATAATTTAATTTTAATTTTTTATAAAAAAATTATCTCTTTAATTTAGTTTTATTTAATATAATAAGATTTTTATTACTAATAGTTAAACTATTTAGTTGTTCTAAATTTATAATATTTAAAATTTATAAAAATATATTTTAAAATTTTAATTTAATAATAATAGTGCAAAGCTGAGAAACATACTAATTAACATAATGCTATACTAAATATTAGACATATAACAACGCAAAATTGAAATTAATAGTTAATTTAATACTTGACAAGTAGAGATTAACAAATAACTAATTTTTTATTCACTTAGTTTACTAGAAATTAAATCTTAATAAAATTATTTTGACAATTAATTTCAAATAGAACAATTTTTATAGGAATAAAAAAATTATTTTTATTTTTTATTTTAAATTATTTTTAAATATCATGTATTTGACTAAAATAAATATTTATCACATGTCTCATCTAGAATAACGGTTTTTTATTAGATAACTTAACACATAAAAACAATTAAATTTTTATTTACTTAATTTATTAAAATTTAAATCTTATCAAAATTTTAATAAATTCTAAATGTAAAAACTTTAATAAAAATTATAAACTTATTTAAACTCAAATTATATATAAAAATAGATTATCTATACGTCTTTATTAAAATTTGTATAAAGTTCATGTTAGCATCGTATCAAGACTTAAAAATTATAATATTAACATAATAAAATTGAATTATAGTATTTTGTGTTTATTTCTTTTCATCACATTACCTATTTTGCTCTCTCTCTCTTTTTAGTTTTTAAAAAATATAAATTTATTGTACAATTAGAATATTTCTTGAATTTTTTTTTACTAAAATTATGTTATTTTAGAAAATATTTATATAAATAATATTATTTAAAAATAAATTATTAATATAGGTTAATTAAACAAGAAACTTTTTATGTTAAAACAAACATAAAAGACAGTATACACTAAGATGTATCATATAATACTTTTATAAAGACGCGATATTTGTACTAAAATTATTTCAAAGATGCTTGCAAATAGAATGCGGGGTGTGTTAGTAAGTATAATAAATAAGCATCAATCAGCACTCATACTAGGGAGAAACATGTTAGATAGTGTGCTTGTTGCCAAAGAAGTAGTAGATTATACTAAAAGAAATAAAAATAAATATTTTGTGTTGAAAGTAGACTATGAAAAAACTTATGATTCAGTGAATTGAAAATACATGTTATATATGTTATGAAAGTTTGACTTTGGGGAGAAGTGAGTAAGGTGGATGGAGGCTTGTATATGTGGTGGTTATTTATCAATCCTTGTAAAAAGGAGTCCCATGAAGGAAGTGGCGATTGGTAGAAGTCTTAAATAAGGCTATCATTTATCTCTATATTTTTATTGGCAGCGAAAGGTTTGGAGGATTGATGAGAAGTGCTATTTCAAGGAGACTTTTTTTTGGGGTCAAAGTTAGTGATGGATCTGAAATCTCATTGTTACAATTTGCAGATGATACTTTGATTATAGACAAAGCTATTGAGCAAAATTTGTAGACGATAAAGGCTATTCTACGAAGCTTTGAGCTTATATTTAGGCTTAAAGTTAATTTTCATAAGAACTATATTATAGAGGTGAATGTGACAAGTGAATTTCCATATACGACATCTCGTTTTCTAAATTACAAGGTGAGGTCTTTGCTTTTTCGGTATTTAGGTATCTATGTTGAGGATAAATTAAGAAGAAGAAGTGTTTGGCAAAAAGTTTATTGAGGTACTTAATAGCAAAGTAGCATCTTGAAAGCACAAATACATTTTCATTGGGGTAGAGTGACATTGCTTAATGTTATTCTAAATAGTCTTCTACAATTATTTATCTTTTTGGAGAATGGTATCAAGTATTATCAAGGAAATAGTGAAGATTCAACATCGATTTCTTTAGAGTGACGTAAAGGAATAATCAAAAATAGCCTAGGTTAAATGGAAAAGAGTATGCATGCCAAAGAATGAGGACGGTTTGGGAGTGAGAAACATAGAATGATTTAATTGGAGCTTCTTGGGTAAATAGGTTTAGAGAGAATTGAAGTTTCTAAACTCATTTTGCTTTAATGTGCTACGGGTACGATATGGATTGTGTGCTAATATGTTAGTTTCTTTGGAGGTGACTCACAATGCTTCAGATTAGTGGAGAGATGTGGTGTGTGTAACACCCTACATTTCTCCATCTTAAATATATTGATTTTATAAAATTATAGAAAGAATAACCAACTTTTTCTTATAACAATTAATAAAAAATTTTAGAGATAAAACCTTTCATAACAG